AAATGGTAAGGAAAATAAAGATAAAACGTTGCGAAAAATTATAATGTAAAGGAATAGTGGATATTTTTGATCAATTTTTCATAGAAGATAAAAATGCGCGCGCGGTTAAAGCTTATGTGAAATATACGCATTTGAATAATGAATCAATTTTTATTTGGTGATTTATAATTTTTTTTTTATTTGTTTATATGACGTTTTTTTTCATTTAAAATCAAATTAACAGATTTAATTTTATTAAAATAAAGCATGTTTTCTCGGCCCTATTTATAGAGATTGAGGGGATGGAATATAGTACTGGATCAAAATGTAGAATGTCCGAAAAGGTCGCGGTTCGATTTTTTTAAATTATTTTCTCAATTTCATGGGAATCTTTGAATATTGTTTATTGAGAACATATCAGCACCTATCAAAATACACAATGTATAAGTTTTGAAGTATTTTTATTGACAAATATAGTGGATCTTACACACACACACACATACGCAAACACACACACATACATATATACAAATATATAAGTAAATGCATTAGGAAAAAATTAAAGTTATTTCTAGGAAGTTAAAAATGAAACATATTAAAATCTTTTTAATATATATATATATATATATATATATATATATATATATATATATATATAAATATAAAAGTGAACATATTTAAGTAACAATAAACCGTTTCATGCTATATGCAATCGTCAGGATTAAACGTGGCCTGACGATAAAAAATATAATAAAAAAACATTTTTTATCGCCTCTAAGTGTTGACTTCTAAATGACTTTTATATTTATTCACACGCTCTATCTCTGATATTGAGCACTTTATCCCATAAATATACCCACATCCTTTAAGACTATATTTCTTATATATATATATATATATATATATATATATATATATATATATATATATATATATATATATATATATATATATATATATATATATATATATATATATATATATATATATAAATATTATGGAATGGAATATAAATCCGACAATTATTTTCCTTAACTATTTACATAGTTCGGACTATCATCCTCATCTTTGTTGCCATATTTATCACATTTTTTGGCCGTTGGACACTCCAGCCTTCTTCATGTGGTTAGTAGTTGGAATTTCGAACTGAAGCAATTTCGCTCAACTGAGGTAGACTGTTCTAGTTCAAAATTGCCATGTCTATGGTGGATGTAAGTTATCGATTATCTCCTGTTAAATCAATCTCCAAGTTCTCCACCGCCTTAGCCAGGTATTGAACTCACAAATTCTTTGGGTCCTATAAACAATTATTTTAGCATATTTTTCTGTTTATATATATATATATATATATATATATATATATATGAAGAGCCATGAGAGAGAGAGAGAGAGTGAGAGAGAGAGGGATAATAATAATCAAATTTAAAAGTACAAAGGATAATCCAATATTCTTTTTAATATAAATTATTAAAAAAGATACAATCCATGAAAATCTCTATAGTATATAGAGCATTATACAAAACAAACTGAAAAAATCCAGTAATATTTTAAATTATTTATCAAATTTATCCAGACTATATGTTAATATATAAATATATATATATATATATATATATATATATATATATATATAAATAAATATATAAAGAGTTTTTTTTATATTTTACATTTTTTATAAAACAAATATTTAATTTAAATTTCTGCTTTTATAATAAAATAAAAATTAAAGAACATTAACCGGCCTGAATGCAAACGAAAAATTTTAATTAAAATATTCTATCCAACCAAATATGTTAGCTCTATCTCTGATATTGAGCGCTTTCTAATAAGTACCTATATATAATATATAAATAATTATACATATATATATATTTATTTATATTTATATTCACTTTTACCATATATATATATATATATATATACTCAAACACACACACACACACACATATATATATATATATATATTTCGCTTGAAGATGGAACAGAGCTTAGTACTTTAATTCAATTTAATTCAAATAATTATATTGAAGTTTTCGGCTCTTGTTTTGAAACATGAAAACTCTTATGTAGCGTTGGAATCATATTTTTAAATAAATAATTATATTCATGCTCTACTTTTGTATCGAACACTATTTTTTAAAAATAATAACAAAAATACTAAAGGACTTTGGATTATTTACCTAACGAGTTCATTCATATTTACACACACATCACACGCACGCACGCACACACACACACACACACACACACACACACACACACATATATATATATATATATATATAAGGAAAACTTATCTAGGCGTTTCTCTGATGTAAGGATTTTATTTCGCAACAAGTATTCATAAATAAAAGTTTGTTTTACAGAATTTATAAATTCAAGAACGCTCATAAATATACTTCAGACTAAATGAAAGTCAAGGTAAACTATGGAAGATGCTAAGTGATATAATATAATGACTAATAAACGAAAGTGAATAAATTTTGTTGTTGTTTAATGTTTTTAGAATGTTATTATTATA